TTTCAAGCCCTTCCTTTCCGACTGTTTTGCTTCCTGAGGGCACCCACCCCCACTTTCCCTGTCTGCGTCCTCCTCTCTGTTTGTTTGGAGCCGTCCTCCCCCAGCTGCCCCCTGAGCCACCCCCCTCCTCCGCTGGGCCCCCAGGGGGGTCCCTGTGGTCTCTGAGTGACAGAGGCGGGGGGGGGGGGTGGCCTCTGAGGTACATCACCAAGCATGTTACAGCGTGATGGCCCTGGGCAGAGTTGCCCCCGCCCCAGGCCGGGCTTGGGATGCTGACCCTCCAGTGACTGCCCGAGAGCTGTTGGGGTGGGGAGCAGTGTTACCCCCCCTTGCCCCGTCGCCCCGCCCAGGGCACCAGGCGGCCACCCAGAGAGGCCCTGGGGCAGAGGGGCAGATACTGGCTGTGGGCGTGGCAGACACGGGTCAGGCTCGTGCGGTCTTGACCGCCTGTGTGTGGGGGGGAGCACGTGCACACACACGCACACACGGGGGGCGCACACGCGTGGGTGGTAATTGCACCGACACCGGTTTCTACGCGGACGCAAGAACTGCCGCACGGCCACCGCCTGGTTCGTCTTCTGCCGTCCCTGCTCAGACGCCGGCCGCGCTCTGCCTGCCCCGGCCCCGCTCCCACCTCTCGGGAGCCGCACCTGGGCGTGTTCTGACCTCAGTGATCTCCGGCATTTCGTTTTCTGACACGTGTCCCAGACCCCGGAGCTGGGCTCTGTGGCTTGCCCGGTGCCCCCGCCCCAGGCCCCCTCCCCTCCGAGCGCACCAGGAAGAGATCCGGGAGCGGGGAGGGGTTCGCCGGCAGCCGGCGGTCGGAGCGGGACCTTCACAATGGCCCCTTGTGCGCAGGCACATTCCTCCTTAAACAGGCCCAGACCCAGGCCGCCGCCTCGCTCGACCCGGTGGGCGGGACCCCTGGTGGGCGGGACCTCCCGGTGGGCGGGGCCCCCAGTGGGCGGGGCGGGCGGAGGTTTGCATCTGGGGGCTGAGCCGTAGGTCTGCCGGGAGAGGGCTGGGCTTTGCGGGGGATCAGCCCAGGGCACAGGTATCCACAGCTCCCTGTTCCCTGGGCGGGCTGGTTTAACCACGCAGCCTCTCCTGGAGAAACCGCCCCCACCCCGCGGGGTTCTGCCCGGAGACCGGCATTTTCGGCACGTGCGCGCGCGCGCGCTCTGCACGTGTGTGCGCGGAGACCAGGACCTCTGCCCGCATGCGTGTTGCATTCTGCTACTTTTACCGCCTAGTCTCAGCATTGCTCGTCTTCAAAATCGTGGATTCGATGTCCGCGTCGGACTTCGGCGTGTGGGTTTGGGACATCAGCGCGAACCCCAGTCGCTCCCAGCGTTCGCTGTTTGGGTGCCGACGCAAACGTCCTCGTGCGGTCAGTCTTTCGCTCTTCTGACTGTCTCCGTGGGAGACGTGCCCGGCTGGGGCCAGCGTGCGCGCTCCAGTGGCCCTCAGGCGCTTGCAGCGTGTGCGCTGCGGAGGATTTTGGGGAGCTGGCGAGGTTTGTGCCTGGCTTTAGGGAGAGAAGGGGCATCCGTGTCTCAGAAAGGGGGTAGCAGAGGGGGCACCTCCTGCAGGATTTCTGCCTCCCAGAGGCCCCGGAGGTCACTTGCCTGCTGTCTGGGAGTCCACTTCGTCCTGCTCGCCTGGGCCCTCCGGCTGCAGTAACACCCTTCAGACCAGAGCCGGTCCGGCACTGGCCACCACCCCTCACTGCCCTCACTGCCCAGTGCGGCCCCGGAGGGGTCTCAAATATGCAAAGCTACTTGCTGGCTTCCGTGGCCGCGTGCTGACACCCCTTGGCTGCCTCTAGCTGCCTCTACTTCTGCAGGGACGGGTGGGGAGGATGAGGGATGCGAGCCAGTGACACCTGGTGTCCCCCTCGGGGGCCGTGTGTGCCGGACCCGGGGTGTTTGTAGGACTCTGCTGGGGGAGGAGATGCTGGGGGACCCAGTCCCGCCAGCTTTGTGACGAGCCGTTTCCTGACTGGTCCCGGCTGGGTGCGTCTGCCGTCAGGACATCCTTGGTGGGGAGGCCGCTGTGCACGGGCGTCCCTCACAAAGCCTGCCGCTGGAAACGATCCGCTCCGTCCCCCCAAGGCTCTGTGTGCACCGGAGCAGCGCCCTCCCATCCCCTGGCGGCGTCTCTGCCCGCCTGGGCTCTGTGAGTCCGGGGCAGGGAGAAGGAGGCCGCTTCCCGGGCCCCTCGACGCTGCGGCTCTGGAGTCGCTCGGCCACGCTTCCGCCGGTGCGTCTGCTGAGTGTGGTTGGGACCGGACAGGGGGCCGGGGCGAGGTGGCCCCGGCCAGGGGGACTCCTGACAGTCGTAGCTGAGTGGGTTGGCATGTGAAGGGGTGGGTGTGAACCTTGGGGCCCTGGGCTGGTTGGGGGGGGCGGTCCGAGAGCCTGGCTTTGCGAGCACTCGGAGGAGGAGGAGGTGTGTCTGTTTGGGGGATCCCACCAACAGGACAACCCCACAACCTGGAGATTCACTGAGTAGCCACGGCCCCCATGGTGGGGACAGCCCTGTCCTCCCGGTGCAAGGGACCGATGGGGAGGGACGGTGTCGGACAGTGGGCGCCAGGCAGTTGATATCACCGGACAGGAAGCCCCCGATGGTGCAGGACCAGGAGCGACCTGTGCCTCGGAGGAAGACAGGCAGGGCGGCGGATGGGGCCGGGCACACGCACGGGTGTAGGGGCCCGGGGAGGAGCTGCATTCCCCGGTGCAGCCGAGCCGTCCCCAGGGACCCGTGCGTGGGCAGGGCCGGTCCCAGTTCAGGGGCGCCTCTGGACTTCATGCCCGAGTCCCGGGGGGCTTTGCTTTGGTGCCGGCTCTTAAGTCACGAGTCAGGGCCTCGTTCTCCTGGGCAGACCTGGGAAGGGCTCTCCCCCACCCACTCTCTGTTCCTCAGCTCGGCCCCAGAGGACCGACACCAAGGACATGCGGAGGTGCCTGCGCCGTGCCGAGGGGGGTGTCCCTCCTCCAGGGGCCACCCGTCAGGGGCAGCCGGGCAGTGCTCTCGAGGGAGGGAACAGACCAGGTGCCTCGGAGGTCCGGGCTCTCAGCCCTGGACTCTGTGTCCAGTCCAGCGGGCACCCGGCCTCTCCTCGGGGCGTTCGGGCTGCTTTGGCACGGACGGGTGGCGGGCGTGTCCCCGAGACGAGGGTGCTCGACGACACAGCAGTGCCCCCGACCCGCACAGCTCCTCCCTCTGAGGACGTTTGCAGCCCCTGCCCATCCGCCTCCGGGGGGCTGGGCTTCGCACCCCAGGGTCCGGTCGCTGTGTCCGCCGAGAGGACGGTGTGCCCGGGCCTCGAAGAGGGCCTCAGAGGAGGGCCACGTCCGGGAAGCGGGAGCTCAGGGGGCGGGTGTCAGGGACGGGCCTCCTGCACATCCCCCCGCTCCAGGGTTAAGATCACACACTCCCGCCCTGGCTGGCGTAGCTCAGTGGATTGAGCTCTGGCTGCGAACCAAAGTGTCGCAGGTTCGATTCCTAGTCAGGGCACATGCCTGGGTTGCAGGCCACGGCCCCCAGCAACCGCACATTCATGTTTCTGTCTCTTTCTCCCTCCATTTCCTCTCTAAAAATAAATAAATAAAACCTTAAAAAAAAAATCACACACACGCCCCCGCCACCTGGCCTCCCCCCCCCCCCCGCCCCTGCCAGGCGTCTTCTGAAGGAAAGTGCCGTCTGCTGGGAGGACGGGAGGGCTGAGCTGGAACTGGAGGAGAGGAGCTGGGCGGGAGGGGCTGCTGAGAACGGCCCTGGAGAGTGGCGGTGGTTGGGGGCTGGGGACCAGCTGCGGGCGGGGGTGGGGGGTGGTGGGGGGAGGAAACGGCGGGGTCCCCCGGAGCCCTGGGCTCGGGGTTGGAGAGGCAAGGCAAGGAGAGGGGTCGGGGCCACTGTGTGTCGCCCAGGCCCGGCGTGCGGGAAGGAGCTGGTGAGTGTCCCTGCCACGTGGGCCCCTTCCTGCTCTGGCCTTGATAACTGGGAGCAGCTGGTTCTTGTTTGCGGCCCGGCGGCTGCGAGGACCCCGAGGATGGCGGCTTCTTAGGCACCATCCCCCTCCCTCCGCCTTGGAGGGAGCGGATCCTGGCGGAGGGGGCGGGCGAGCGGGCAGCAGGGTGGGGGAGTGGGCCGGTCAGCACCCTGCAGGGGCCCAGTCTGGCTGGGGCAGGTCGTCGTCGGTGGGGCAGGGGGCTGGGGTGGACCGCCGCACCGGGGCTCTAGGATTCCGCCGGAAACTGGACAACCCCGTGCCTGGAACCTGGGGCCTTGGAGTCAGGGAGCTGCACCTTGTGGGACTGCCACTCACTGTCCCTGGCGCTGGGCGCACGGCTTCCGCCCGGGGCCTCAGTTTCCCCACCGGTCCCAGGCACGGTGGCCTTCTTGACAACACGGGGTTATTGTGACAGATCAGTGTGACGTGCGCGGTGAGCCCGGCCCCGGCCTACTTCACGTGGTCCGTGTCGGCTCTTCATGCCGTCGCGGATACGGCGAGGTCCTTCCCATCATGATTCTGGTTGGTTACAGTTGCACCATAGTTACCGGGGACGTGCTCGCCCCGCCGCTGCCAGGGGCGGTGGTGGTGATGGTGTGTTTGCCCCGACGGTGTCTGGTGGGGGCAGGTGAGGAGGCAGAAAGGAAGGCCGTGACGAGACAGTCAGAGGCCCCCCTGGAGCCCGACATCTGGATAGGAACTGTCGCTGGGTCCCTGCCGTGGCCGGACAAAGAGGCCACCCTCCTTCAGGCTCCAGCCCTTTCTGTTTCCTCCCAAACAACACGGGATTGTGGGCACCTCTGGGTACCTCTGGGTAGAGGAGGGCTGCCCCCTTTTCTGCCCGAGAGATGAAGGGTGCGAGAGCCTGCCCGGGGTCCCGGCTGCAGCGCCCCCCTGCCGGCTGCCCCCCGCACTCCCCGCACCCGGTTGCCGCCGGGTGCTCCCGAGCCGCCCACTCATCACACCCTCCTCTGTCTTCCAGCCTTGAAGAGGTCCTTTGAGGTCGAGGAGGTCGAGACGCCCAACTCCACGCCACCCCGGAGGGTCCAGACCCCCCTCCTCCGGGCCACAGTGGCCAGCTCCACCCAGAAATTCCAGGACCTGGGCGTGAAGAACTCGGAGCCCGCCGCCGCCCGCTATGTAGACTCCCTCAGCCAGCGGTCCCCCAAGGCGCCCCTGCGGAGGGTCGAGCTGCCGGGCCCCAAGACCGAGCCCGTGTCCCGGCGCACCGAGCTCTCCATCGACATCTCGTCCAAGCAGGTGGAGAACGCCGGCGGCGCCGCCGCCCCTGGGCCGTCCCGGTTCGGGCTCAAGCGGGCCGAGGGGCTGGGCCACAAGACGCCGGAGCCCGCCCCCCGGAGGACGGAGATCACCATAGTCAAGCCCCCGGAGTCGGCCCACCGGAGGATGGAGACCCCCGCCTCGAAGCTCCCCGAGGTGCCCGCCGCCCCCGCCACCGACGCCGCCCCCAAGAGGGTGGAGATCCAGGTGCCCAAGCCAGCCGAGGTGGCCGCCTCCCCTGCCCCAGCCCAGATCCTGGAGAATTCAGAGCCCGCCCCGGTGTCTCAGCTGCAGAGCCGGCTGGAGCCCAAGCCCCAGCCCCCCTCGGCCGAGGCCCCGCCCAGGAGGCAGGAGGGTGAGTGGTGCAGCGCCGGGGTGCTGACTGGGGGGCGGGGCGGCAGCTGGCTTTGCCATGGAACCCTGGAGAAAGATGCTCGGGGTCAGGGTGGGGGTCGGGGGGCAGTGGCGCTGTGCTTCTGGGAAGACCTGGAATGCACACAGGGGTGAGCGGTCCGAGGCTCCGGGGAGCAGACTCGGTGTTCCCTGTCCCCGGAGGGTGGGCCACGGTGCAGCACTCTGGACTTGAGCTGAACTTGAGCTGGGTTCTGGGTTTCCAGGGGCCCCCTTTATGGGCTGTGCCCCGGAGCCCAGGGCGGCGGGGGCTGGAGCCTGGACGTGAGAGGAAGCAGGAAGCACGTTCCGTGGTGTGTGCGCCCAGGGGCGGGGTGGCCAGCAGCCCTGCAAACCCCTGGCAGAAGCGTGGCCCGGGGTGGGGCGGGGCGGGGCATTCCGGCCCCCCTGAAGTTTGTGTTGGAGGATCTTCCCCCTCCCCCTCCCCCAGAGGCAAGGAGAACACAAGAATGCCTAGTCTGTGCACCCTGAGATTCCCTGGGCCGCTGGGAAGGGGCCCCTGGGCCAGGGGTCCCTGGGGTGCCTGTCCGCATGTGTGTTTGAGGGTGCACTTCTGGCGAAGGGTGGGGGAGGGAAGCAAGAGGCTTGGGTGCTGTCCTCGCAGGACCCCAGCCTGGACTTGGCTGGCCCGGGGAGCTTCCAGGGGAGGCAGTGCCGGTCCCCGCGGGTCCCCGGGTCCCCGGGACACCGGCCACGTGAAGGTGCCAGCTGGGCTGTAAGCCTCGTGGGAGCTGGGTCGGTTCTGGTCCCGGGATTCGGAACTCGGTAAATGTTCAGTGGGTGTGTTTTGAGTTGGACAGACAGAATGTTCTGGGTGTTGGATGGACCTTTTCAAAAACGTTGTTTTTCCTTAGGGTTAGAATACACGTGACCTAGAGTTCACCCTTTTAACCGTTGCGTGCACAGCTCAGCGGCACCGGGTGCTCTCACGCTGCCGTGCGGCCGCCGGCTCCCGCACTTCCTCATCACCCCACGCGGATGTCTGTCCTTGTCGGATGCTGCACCGCCCCCCCCGCCCACTGTCCCCCACCCCGGCACCCGCATCCCACGCCGCGTGTGCGAACCAGCCGCTGTGGGCGCCGCATGTGAGCGGAGGCGTGCTGGGAGGGCCCTTCCGCGCCCGCCCGACTCGCGGAGCGCAGTGTGCTTGCGGCCCGCCCCTGCTGGCAGGTGGCCTCGGTGGCCGGCAGGGCTGTGCGGGGGCCCCGTGCCGTGCGCCCACCTCCCGTTCCTGGACATCGGCTGCTCCCGCTCCTTCGTGCTCGAGGGGGTAGCGCTGCTGTGGCCACGGGCGCGCACGTGTCTCTCCCAGCCCCTGCTTTCACTTCCTCCTGTTATTTATTTTACTTTCTGACTAATGGTTTGGGGACTCGGGGACCAGGGGGCTGCTCTTGGCTGGTGATGGTGTTGCATGAGCTACTGAGTTCTGTTCAGTGAACCTTTGCTCAGCTGAGCAGGTCGGGGTGGGAGGTCGTGAGGGGCCGAGACTCTGAACTTCCTGCGACGCTGGGCACCTCCCAGTGTTCCGGACTCCAGGGCCTTAGAGGTCCCTTCCGGCCCTGGGTCCTTGTGAGCCTGCTCTCGCTCCCATGTCCCCAGCCTTGACCCTGCAGAGCACGGAGAGGACGAAGGCACGGCCGGTGTTTGGGGAGTGGCCGGGGGACCGTTTCCTCCGGGTCTGCCATTGGTCGAGGGCCCTGGGCATACCGGGCCCCCGCCCCCTCCCGGGGGTGAGGTGTTCACGCCCGGCCCAGTCAAACAGGATGTGGCCGGGAGATGGTCATCACCAGGCCGTCCGTCCAGGGCTTGTGACAGCTGGTGCCGGATGCGCCAGGAGGTGGCCCTGGCTCTGGGGACAGCATTGGGCCTGCTCTGGCTCAGCGGGGGGCCAGCAGGGGGGCCAGCGGGAGCAGGACAGTGGCGGTGGGACCGGGAACAGTGTGGGGAGAGGCTTCCCGGGAACGGGGCCCCTTCCCCTAAGGTTTGGGGGGGTTTGGCCAGGCAAAACAGAGGAGAGAGAAGCGCCCCCAGCCGAGGCCGCAGTGCAGAGGTGCTGGGGAGCCTGAGCCCCGGCGGGGACTGTGGAATTTCCCCACGCCGTGTGGAGGGGATCCACCTCCATGTGGAGGGGCCGTGGGCTGGCGCGCTGTCCTCCGGCCCTGCGCCCGGGCACCAGCTGCGGGGGTGGGGTACGTGCTCTTCGTGTTTGCACACACGTGTGCCTGTGCCCGACCCGCATGTCTTAGTGGCTGCGTGGGGCGGGGCTCTCTGAGACCAGTGCTCACCTGTTGAGCACCTTTAGTTGGACTGGGCGGAGGGGGGCGGGGTTTGGACAAACACTGCGAAGAGGAAGAAGCTCGGTGGCGGAGGCGGGGCTTGGATGACTCCCTTTGGGGGAGGCTCTTTCCTCTTCCAACGGCAGGAGTCCCGGAGGAGTAACCCGGGCCAGGAGTGGGCGGGGCCCACTGAGGGCTGGGGCCTGGGCTGGAGGTCCTGGGCAGGTCTGCATGGGCGGGGGCAGGGGGGCGGGCTTTCCTGCTGGAGGGGGCTCCTGGGCTCTGTTGCGGCGGGTTCTGGGGTGCAGGCCGGAGTTCCTGCCCAGCCGCTGCTCTGCTCCTTCCTTCCTCCGCCGCCGCTGGTGCTGCTGGTCGACGCAGTCCCTCCAGAGGCACGTCCGGTCCTCCCTCAGCCCTCCTCCCTGCCCATCTCTCCTGGAGACCTGGCAGTCCTGTCCCCTCCACCCTTCGTCTGGGGGCTGGGCCCGGAGCTCCAGGAAGCCCCCACCCCGCAGGGCCCTCGCTGTCTGCCTTCCATGGCACGCTGCCCCTGGCACCGCAGGGCCAAGGGGTCGGGGCGGAGGGAGCTCTGTGCCTTCTGATCAGACTCCTCCCTCTGCCTCTGCCTCCAGGAAGCCTGCCAGACTGGCAGTAGGGGCAGGACCAAGTCTCCTGGGACCCCGGCTGAGTTGTTCCCACACTGACCTCCCTAAACCCAGCGCTGATGAAACCCTTGCCCACTCTGGGCCTGCGCTGGCTCACTCGCCCTGGGGACCACTCCGCAGCCCCCCACCCTCCGGTCCAGCCGCCACCGCCCTGCGTCCGAGCTCCTCCTGCCACGGCCCCTGCACACTTCCCATAATGCCCCTCTCCTCACAGCGGTTCTGCTCTGACCTCCTGACCCCCGACTTCGCTCTTCTCCGCATCACTCACTGCTCTTTGCGCTCCTACGCTTCCCTCCAAGCCCCGCTCACACGGCACCTCCTCCAGGAAGCCCTCCCACCGGAAGGAAGTGGCCTCTCTTCCCCTGATGCCCAGCCTGTTTGCCCCTTCTCGTGTATCGTGTTTTGTGTTTGGCCTAGAATGTAAATTACTTGTATGTGAACCTTCTTTTCTCTGCTAGAATTCTTAACGTAAAACAGTCGTTTTTCATAGTATCTGTTCTTTAAAATTCAGGAAATATAGAAATTAGAAAGAAACTAAAATTTACCTGTAACTCAGTTATAGCCACTCTGAACCTTTGCTATATTGTCTTCTGAGTTCCCTCCCTGCCCCGCCCCCACTGGATTCCAGGTTACTTGAGGGTTGTCTCTGTTTTTTGTTTTGTTTTGTTTATTATTTACTTTTAGAGAAAGGAAGGGAGGGAGAAAGAGAGGGAGAGAAACATTGCTAGGTTGTCTCTTGCATGCCCCCAACCAGCGACCTGGCCCACAACCCAAGCATGTGCCCTGACTGGGAATCGAACTGACGACCTTTTGGTTCGTAGGCTGGCGCTCAATCCACTGAGCCACCCAGCCAGGGCTGTTTTTGTTTTTGAGAATCCCACAAGATACTGAGTGAGCGACTCGGACGTAGCAGGTGCTCAGGGAAACGGTGTTGGAGGACTGAGATGAGGCGGCCTTTGTCGCCCCTGCAGACAGATGCAGGGTCCCCAGAGAACCCTCTGGGGCCCAAGCAGCTACTTCTCTGGTCAGATGCAGCCCCACAGAGCTGACCCTGTCCACTCTGGTGTGTTGAGGTCGTGGTTTCTCAGGCTGCTGCCCTGTCCCCACAACTGGCACCTTCCTCGTCCCTGGGTCGTCTCGGCTCCTCTCTCGGCCTCCGGGCAGGAGCAGCCTGGCCTCTCCTCCCGGGCCCTCCCCGCCCTGCGTCTGCATGGGTGGCTCTGGGTGAGGCCGGGCTGGTGCTCGGGGCCGGCTGCCTGCGGCTCTGCCTCGCCCCGGGAGCCGCCCCTTCGGCTCCGGGCCGACACCAGCCAGGCTTCCCGAGGCTGCCTTATAAGGCGGGCGCCGGCCACCCGCTCCCGGGCCTGGTTCTCTGCTGCTGCTGGGTGCTCCCAGGGGGCCCTGGGGAGGGGCGGGGCGACAGGGCCTGGGGGCGCGTCGGGTGTCCCCGACCCGAGCCCAGCTGAGTGAGGTCTTGGGGTGTCCTGGCTTGACCCTGTGGCACTTCGCTTCGCTCCCCCACCTCTCCGGCTTGGTTTCTCTCTGTCAGATGAGGGTGGGGCAGGGCCTGCTGGCCCAGGGCGGCCTGAGCCCTCCAGGTGCCCACGGCACGGTGGCACCAGGGGTCACCTGGGACGGCGGGGCGTGAGAGTGGGGTGGGGCACCTCCGAGAGTCTCTTGACGGGCTTTCTCTCCGGCGGGTCTGGAAATGTCTCGGTCACGGGGAAGGGGTGCCCCTCCCTCTCTGACGGTCTCTGAGGCCCACTCACACGTAGGTCGTAGGTCGGGATGGAGCGGGGGGCGCTGCTGGAGGAGCGCCCGGCCCCAGGTGTGTCCTCCAAGATGGGACAGAGCAGGGGGCAGCGATTAGGAAGAGCCCACCTCCCGCCGCCAGCCCACCCAGCTGCCTGCCCAGCACAGCGCCCGGTGAGGAGGACAGGGGGCGAGCCGGGGAATGCAGTCCCAGCAGCTGCCGAGTGCCGTAAATAGAGCAGAGCGGGCGC